GTTTACTATTTCACTAATTTTACTTTGTGCCTTTTCAATTTCTAACACTTTAATCGGCTCTTCACTCTTTTTAATACTAGACACTATTGGATATCCCAATTTATTCTCAACTTCAATTATCCATGGTAGGCCAAACAAATTCAATTTTTCACTTGTGACATGTGTCACCAATACTTGTTTACTATCGTCTACTTCGACACTCGCCAAAAAACTGCCCAACATACTAAACTCGTTTCCTGTGAAACTTCTACCCTTGCAGGGCACTCCAGTGAGCTTTGGGCTACCAATATTCTTCCATGTCACTTCACTTATACAACTGATTTGAGCCCCTGAATCCAAAATGAATTCCACTTCGTTTCCGTTCACTAACACTTTTTTTGTTAACCATTTAGGTTTCACACTCATACTCACATGGAGAATATCAACACTGTTCTTTACATTACACTCATGGTTCTCCCACCATGTTTTTACTTTACTAATCAGGGCCATTTTTCTTTATGTAGCTGTTGCCGAACTTTTCTTTTGTAGCTGTTGCTGAACTTTCCTTTATCGAAGTAGACGAAACTGGTTTGCGACCGCGCCAAATCTGTTACGACCCCGGTTACGTAGAGGAAGCTAACAGAAACGTTTATTGCACAAAGAAATACAAAGCAGGCGAAGGTTGGGGTATGAAGAAGAACTAAGACTGAGACCGAGAACTAACTATTGGCTGGGCTTTTATACTAAACACTTTAAGGGCTGACGCCCATACACAACAAAAGGGACCAAATTTTAGAGTCAAATAGGCCAAATATTTTTTTCTTTCCGGTCTTAAAGCCCAATGATTAAACTTTTGCTAATTTCTTCCTTAATAACCACAATTTCATAGGTTGGCGTGTAGTAAATAAAGAAAAGAAATCATTAACTTCAATTCGGAATAAAGGTTTGCGATTATAAAAATTATGCAGAAAAATCAGTAATATAAATAAAATATGAGTAAATCTTTAAATTTTAACATTTTTATCTTACTTAGGTTTAAGTTTAATTTAGTAAATATAGGTATAGAAAAATATGTTAAACATTATTTTAAAAATTTAATTAAAGAAAAACGCAAATCGCGTGGAGAATCCTCTTCCCATCAACCTCAGCATCATAAGAATCCTCAACATCTACAAAAATACAATGTAGATTCAATTGAAGATACGGGAGATTATTGTGAGAATTATGTTAAATTCATTACAAATAAAAATTTTTTAAGCTAACAAGTAAACGAGGAAGTTCATTTATGCAAAAGCAAAAGTCTATTACAAGTAGAGAAAAAGGGATTTAAAAAAAGGATTTAAAAGGGATTTAAATTATATTTTTATTCTAAAAATTTTGAGACAATGGGTTGGTCGGAACTTTATATCAGACAAAAAATAGAAAATTAAGTATCCATTGTGAGCTTTTTATTAATAATTTTTTGACCCAATGAGCTTTAAAATTTTTTTGCCACAATGGAAACTTTATTTTATGCCCAAGCTTTATCTCATTACGATTGTAACATGGTTATTTTTATTTAAAACTGACAGGATAAATTGTTCTATTTACAGGGTGCGGCAAATTTTCCACCGCTTTTGGTTTGGTCATAACTCGGTTCAAACTTATCTAGTAAAGGCATGCCTCTCTCTAATAGTAAAGGCATGCCTCTCTCTAATAGTAAAGGCATGCCTCTCTCTAATAGTAAAGGCATGCCTCTCTCTAATAGTAAAGGCATGCCTCTCTCTAATAGTAAAGGCATGCCTCTCTCTAATAGTAAAGGCATGCCTCTCTCTAATAGTAAAGGCATGCCTCTCTCTAATAGTAAAGGCATGCCTCTCTCTAATAGTAAAGGCATGCCTCTCTCTAATAGTAAAGGCATGCCTCTCTCTAATAGTAAAGGCATGCCTCTCTCTAATAGTAAAGGCATGCCTCTCTCTAATAGTAAAGGAGTGCCTCTCTCTAGTAAAGGCATGCCTCTCTCTAATAGTAAAGTCATTCCTCTCTCTAATAGTAAAGGCATGCCTCTCTCTAATAGTAAAGGCATGCCTCTCTCTAATAGTAAAGGCATTCCTCTCTCTATGCATGCCTCTCTCTAACAGCTCCTTCGTTTATTATTTCCAGACCCTCTATTATGACTGGGTGAACTTGATGTTTTTAATTAAACATGTGGTATTGAAGTTCAATAAAAAATTCAGACAAAAAATTTTAAGTAGTTTTAACTAGAGTTGCACGAGATCGATATCTCGACCGAGACCGAGACGAGAATCTCGGCCATTTTCCAATCTCGGTCTCGGTTTTGCCGAGACGAGACCACCTAACCGAGACGAGATTCTCGGCACTTAATCTCGCCGAGATCCGAGATCAGTATACACCCCTAGAGATTGACCTTCTTGAGATTTATTTTTATTTTGACAAAATATTTAAAATTTCGCCATTGGTATATTGTTGTGCTTACTTTAATTTAGTTGTCTAGAGAGCGGAGCAGGACGAATAAGCGCGGCTGAATACACATCAATCTTCGCGGAAAAAAGTTTTTGCCGCTGCGGGGGAAGCCGGGCATGTCGAGCGGAACGACGGCCGCCGCTTCGCTACGGTCGCCGCGACCATTACTTACCTAGGACCATTTCTTACCCTATTCTTCGAAATTTCGTAAGGTTATAATCTTTTTCTGAAATTTTTAAAAGTTTGCTATAACTTTCAGAAATTTCAAGTAATAGGGTACGGAATGGTCCCAGATCAAGTGGACGTAGGTCCCGAACATGAAGAACTATTACGGAACCCAACCCCAACCTTGAACACGAAGAAAAATCCAAAATTTGGGGTTTCAGTCCCCAATTGGCCGGCCAAATTCAATTTGTACAAGAATGTAATTTGGACGGTGACATATATACACCGTATTTCTTCTAATAGTGCGACTGTCTCTAATAGACCGACCCCTTCTAATAAACCAACCCCGTAGAGGAAGGTTGAAAAATAAACCGACTGTCTCTATCAGACCGACCCCTTCTAATTAACAAGTGTCCCCTACCCTTTATACTTAATTCTTTCTGGAGAAATGGTGGAAAAAATTCTAGTTGTAAAGGCAAATATGGATAAACTGTTGCTTGGTCCACCAACTGAAATTAATTCTGATGAAACATATGATTTTGATGATGGTTTAGGTGATATTTAATTAATTTAAATGGGTTTTGGTGGATAAAAAAAGTTTTGAAAAATCTCGGTTTATCTCGGATCTCGATATCGGTCTCGGGTCAAATTTTGCATCTCGGACTCGGTCTCGGTCATACGGGTCTCGGTCAATCTCGGTCTCGGATTTATTCTAAAATCTCAATCTCGTGCAACTCTAGTTTTAACTAGAGTTATCCCTGTTCATATGCTTATAAAAATAAAAATTCACAAAACAATAGTTATCCTATCTCAAGTCAACTTTGTTGAAGTTTTCAATTTTTTTGATTCACTGAATCTACATATTAGTAAATCTATTAAATAATGCCCAGATTCATTTTTTCCCAATTTTTGAAGCAATTAAAATTAATTTTGGAAATATTTTCCTTTAATTTTTTATTAAATTGTCCAAATTCAAAATTAATTTCTGATGCTTTAAACGGCAAGGGTAAAATTAAAAAAATAAACAATTTGCTAATTTTTTTTCTTTTTATTTTGCCGAAAATCAAAACACAATAAAGAAAAATTCTTATGAAATAAATAAAGACGACTTGTGATTCTTTAGAAAAATAACGAGTGCAAAATTATTTGCACTTTGCTTAAAGGGTAAAAATTAAATTAAAACACAAAAAAATAATTTGGTAATTTTTTTTCTTTTTTTTTTGCCGAAAATACCAAAACACAGTTTTGAATTTATTTTAAAATAATTAGACATTAATAAAAATTGCTAGACTATCACCTTATTGAGGTGTTTCGAAATTTCGATTTTCGAATTCCTATTTTCAATTTTTGAGAGTTTATTATGTTTCGATTTTGACATTTAAGGATTTTTTTTATTTTCGAATTTTATCAAAAATTTTAATTTTTGGCTCCAAAAAAGAGGAATTCTGGCTGCTCGGGCATCGAAAATCTTGGCATTCCAAAAAGATTTTTTTAGATAATAATATAAAAAGTTTGAGTAAAATAAAAAATATTAATGCTAATATTTTACATATATTTGCTGAAAAAAGAGTTCTTTTAAAATAAGCAAATACTTCTCAAATAAAAAAATTTTATTAAAATAAAGAAAACTCTTTAAGAAAAGATATCTTAACTCAAACTCTATTTAAAGTTTCACAATAATATACTTTATTAAAAAAATATTTTTACACAATTTAAACGTTATAAATAAAAACTAAAATTATACAAGAACTCTGAGAGAAATTTTTATATTAACTCTGATTATTTACCTAAATTCCAAAGTTTATATGGAGAAAAAATGGGAGGAAGCAGGTAAAGAAAGTTTTTGTAAGATGAAGGCAAGAAACCGTGCCATGTTTGTAGAGGCATAAAAATTTAATTTTTTACAAATTTTATTAAATTATATGTAATAAAAGTTTATTTTTATTTAAATTTTCTAAATTTAAATAGATGAAAATTGGGAAGGGCATTCAACATTTACAATAAAAAATTTTTTTCCCTTTATAAAAATTCTTATGGATTTTTTCTATCTATTTTCCATCTATATTAAAGAAAAAAGATTCGAAATTTTGATTTTGATTTTCTACGAGAATCGAAATTTCGATTTTCTATCTATATTTGCAATGTCAATCTCTCTCTCTCTCTATTATTTTTTATTATATACATATATGGAAAATTTATTTATATAAGGAAAAATTTTTTAAATGTAAATAGGGAAATCCATCCCCAATTTAATTCATTTTAAATTTTTACTCCCCAAAAAAACTAAATAAAATTTAGCTTTTCCCTATCTTAATTTAAAATAATTTAAGAAAATTAAACTTTTATTCCTCTAAAAATATATCTTATTTTTGTTGAAAAGTTTATAAAATGGATATTGTTCGAGATGATAATTGGATAGTGGCCTGACGGCGCTGACAAAGGACGAAATCTGGCTTCCTGCCTTCCGAAATTCTTAAAGTTTTTGTCTGCGGCGCTGAATTAAAATAGATTTGGAGATGTATCATGAGATTTGTAGTGGTTGGGGATTAAGTGGGATATAGATGTAGTTTTGCTTTTGACCTTCCCGCTCCAAGCACATTCGGAGCATGAAGCTTTATTTTTTGTTATAATGCTACCGAAAAAATTTTTTCTTAACAATGCTTCAAAAATTATCGGAAATTTTATAAAAATTTTGGAAAGCCTAATTCCGACCGAACTCTATTTATTACCATTAATTTATATTAATTATCCTTTATTTATTCCAAATTTTTTAGAGAATGTGGTTATTCTTTTTGTTTATTAACCTCAATTCCATTTTTAATTTTGTTTGTCCTCATTCGATTTTTGTAAAGTTTTCTTGGCGAGATAATGGCGAAAATGAAGAAAATTATTACAATCGTTTGGCTGGAGAAGCTGATGAACGATTTAAATTGGAATTGACAGGGGATAACCTCGACAATCCAATTATTGGATTGACTGACATAAATGATACATTTCAATTTGAGAATCTAAATGGAGGCACTTTTAAATTGAAAATAATAATATATGGACTAATCGATGTTAGTGTAAGGGAGGGAGGGATTTTGCTAGTTTTTAAAAATGTTTAGGCTAGGCTAAGCATCTTTAAAAAGTTTTTAGACAAGTTCACTTACTTCCCAGTGGAGCTTTAACAAAGCCTAACAAAAGCAAGTAAAGAAAATTTATTATATATGTTCGGGTATCCCGACTCCCGGCTCGTGAAAATTTCCAGAGTTTTTGGCCTCCCGATCACGACTCCCGAGGTCATTTCCCAACCCCGTTTCCCGAGTTTTTTTCTCCCGAAAATCATTATTATATTTAATGACAAATGTGTTTACGATAACGAATAAAACAAAATTATGTTTAAAAATTTATTAAATTACAAAATTCTTTTAGGAGGATATTGGCACTATAGATGAAGTACTAGAAAATGATACAATAATTTACATCATTCCTCGCAAAGACAATACAAAATATATTAAATACATAAAAGTTGAAGGAGAAGAATACTTCTTCAATACAATGATTAATTTGTTTAATAATCTTCGTGTATTAATTTTTGTTTGGTCTAGTACTCCAGAATATATGCAAAAAATAAATAGTATAATGATCAGATGTAAAGACATGGTTAAATCAAATTTTGCAGCCAATTTTAATAGAAATGTAAATAATGAGGAGGGAAGTGGACTATATAAATCAACAAATTATGTAAAAACATTAACTTGCCCGAGTGGTGAATATACTGTTCTGGTTGATTACAAGGTTAAGAGAAAATATTAATAAATTTATATCTGCTCAAATTCCAATTAGCTATATACTATTTAATCATTCCAAATACTCTTATGTAGTTGTAAATCGCTGATACTGTTGTTGGGCAAGTATCCTTTTGGTTCCCTACATGTACGCAATGAGAATGGGCACTTTTCAGATTGTAAGACGGAAATGGAATTGTGATATATTAAATAAAACTTTCCCAGCGACCCCGCCTATCCATAACCAATATACTCCTAGGAATAAGTGAGGGAAGGGATCAGTCAGTCAATCAGTCAGCTTATTAGTCAGTAGTGAATAATATTAGTGAATTAATATATTTATTGCCCAATCGGAGGAACTAGTCGTCGCCCGTTTAATCGCTCTTAAGAAGTGAGCGTTGTTTATTGTCCGGCCGGACCAACAACATTAATTAATTAGTATTTCACTCATATTCTATTATCCTGGGCTCTATACTGGGTATGGATTCAGCAAACTTTTTCTATATCTTTTGAATTGGTAGATGTACGAATTTGAGGAGATGTAAAAGGCCCTTTCTTTTAAACAATCTTACATTAAAAATTTAGATAGAACTTACAGAAACAGCTTATAATAAAACAGGAATCAAATATAATGGTAATATCTATTATTATCATTCAAGAGACCTTTGGGTTTGTGCAAGATATACTGTTAAAGGTGCAGACAAGTGTAGAGGGAAAATTCATGTGGATCCTGATTACAACATATCGGATGATTTATATTCAAATGTTGAGCACACCCATCGTCCTCAATATGACAAAAATTATAAAATTGTAAGAAATGTTATAAAATTTATATTAGAGTACGTCCGAGTCGGGTCGAGTACGAGTATACTCGACTCGATCTCTCGGCTTTTATACAACTTTACTCGTACTCGATACTCGGGGTCCTAGTACTCGGCATTACTCGTACTCAAAAACTTCATACTCGGGTAACTCGAGTATTTTTATGTCCCTATCTGCGGCGCAAAATGGAAGATTTTTGGATTAAGGATCTTCCAAATTTCTCAAAATTTTCGCCTGCGGCGCTGAAAAAAAAAAATTTTGCTCTTTGGCCTTCCAAAATTCTCAAAATTTTCGCCTGCGCTGAAAACGAAGACTTATGTGTACATCGTTGGATTTCAATGAACTTGGGTGGATTTTAGTGATAGCCGGATAGTTCAAGGGAAGGATCTGGCCTTCCGGAACTTGGGTGTTCCTAATTGGCCTTCAGAAATTTTCAAAATTTCTGAAGGCAAAACAGAGGGATAGAGAAAAGAGAGGATAGAGAAACAGTTACAGAGGGATTTTTATTAGAATTATTTTAAAATACTGTTTTATAAAAATTACTCGATTACTCGGCCTAAAAATCGAAACTAGTACTCGTACCCGGACTTTTCATACCCTGCTTTACTCGTACTCGAGTTTTTCCAAATTACTCGGACTCGGACGCACTCTAATTTATATCCTTGCACTTCTTATGTTTCTGAAACAAGTACTGAAGATACTAATTCAACTTTAATAAGGCTTGCGGGTTTTGATGTCTAGTGTTCTTTAAAATTTATTGCTTTCATCCAATTAAATATTAGTTTATTTTGTTTAGCTATATCTGGAAAAATTTCTATCTAGTATATCTCTATTATGGATCTAATTAAATAATTTAGCTTTTATTTTCAAAAGTGTTTAACTTGTACAAATTTTATTGAAATAATTTTTTCTAATAAAGATAGAAATAAATTGCCCACCATCAATTCATTCAAATGATATGGTAAATGCTTATAGAATAGATTTTGAAAATCCGTCGACTGAACATAAATGCCAATTCCTTCCTTATGAACAAACAATTACTAAAGATTATTTATATGTGTTGAATAATTATAATTTGTATGTTGATGAGCGAATGGAGCAAATTTTTGATGAAGAGTATGCACAGACTATTGTCCGAGGCAGAGGTGGGTCGGCCCAGCAGAGGTGTCGGGAATCGGAACTGTCGGAAATCGGAAATGGCTCAAAAGTCGGAACTCGGAAATCAAATTTTTTTTCGGAAATCGAAAGGAAAAAAAACGTCGGGAATCGGAAGGCGGAAATTGGAATTCAACGCACCTTTGGTCCAAAGCACTATGAAAATCCTTTTTTTTGTGTGTAGATTAAAAATTTTATTTTTTGTCTCCGTTGCTCAACGTATATTTTTTTGCGGGGAAGAAGAGTAAGTGAATCGGGGTTGGAGACCAACTTTAACCAAAAATATTAGTCCGGTCTGCTGAAGATGCTGGTTCGCTCCCAACCGCCGAATAACCTTTTGCATTAGCTAAAGGAGAAAAAGCTATAGCTTTACTATTTAAGGACGTCGACAGCGTAAATTGCGTGGAGAATCTTCACGTCAACCAAAGCATCCTTAGAAATTCACAGTTTATTCAGGTAAGATTCGGGAAATCATTGTGAGATTTTAAACAAATTTTAATTAAACTTCACCTAAAAAATTTAATCTTAATTTTATCTTAATTCAGAGAACAAGTAGAAGATGGAGCTCGTTTAAGAAAAAAACTCTAGAGGAACAAAAGCAAATATTATTTAAATTTTTTTTCATTTTTAACTTTTAGAAAAGAGTGTTATTTAAAAGGGATTTAAGTTATTATTAGGGTTGGGCCAAACATTCAAATGCATATTTTGTATGCGGATATGCCTTGATGAGAAAAGCTCAAATATATTGTTTTTATGATGGTTCGAGCAATTTATACCCGGTTCTTATTGAATATTTGTGCATTTTTAGCCTTTTCGTGCATATTTGCATATTGATGCATATGTTGGGAATTTTTTCATATTTTGGTAAAATTCATAAATTTTTGTTAAATTTTATTACTAAAATTTTGGCATTGTTTGTGTTTTTTTGATTTTTTTCTGTTTTTAACTGTTTCTTTTCACTTATTTTGTTGGTAATATTATTCACTGTTTCTTTTTATATTTTGTTTTCAATTCTAGATTTTTCTTCCAATTAAAATTCTATTTGCTTAAAATTTGGATTTTTAAGTTATATCTACAATGGCGGAAATTTACTTAAAACCGATTGAATTTTATATTTTAACCTAACTTTTCTCTCCAGCTTTATAGAAATATGAAATAGTCTCTTGGCTATTGAATAGCCCTACTTTCAACGTATCTTTTCTGTAAACTTTTTTAATGAATTACAATTACAACACAAAAATTTATAGCAAAAACTTAAGTGTGCGCGAAATTTACTTAAAACCGATTTAATAACTATTGAAATTTAGACATAACTACTATGCTTAAAATATTTTACTATTCGAGATGATAAATATTATGTCTGTGAAAACAGACATATTTATTGTACAATGACCCTAATCTCTCAAATATAATTGAGGAATTAATTTATTATATTTATTTCTTCATTTACTAAATTAGGGTCAAGGGAGCGCTCCGAAGAGCACTGAAAATGGGGGAAATGAAATAAGTATTTATAGGGACTAGGAAGGGCGGAAAGATTATAAAAACATAAGGAAAATACATTTGATTGATAAAATAAGGTTGAAAGGAAATATAGGTTAGAAGGGCAACAATTTGAAATAAGATGAAAGGAGAAAATATTTCAAAGTGGGACTGGGGGAATTATTTAAACATATTAAGGAATGGACAAATAGATAAAAAACATAAAATAAATAAATTATTAAAAACATTTGGGGTTAATTAATTTTTCCACAAAATACTCCCATTTTATTCTATATTTCTCTCTATGTCTAGAGGTTTTACAATTCGCCTACTAGCTAGTTTATAAATATTTTAAATTCGGTACTTTTCCGTTATCCCTACGTGTTTTTGCGGACTTTTTTTGCGGACAATTTATTCCATCAGCAGTCTGTACATAAAGGTCAACTATTTTCTCCCTTCCTAAACCCTTGTCAAGCAATCAAACAGGATTAAAAGTAGTGTATAAAATATGAATAAATGATAGGAAAAGAACAGTCTAAGCTTTTGATTTTATAATGAAAATTTGGGACGTGCCAGCAAATGAAAAAGATCCATCGAGCAGGAACAACCATATTTAGTGATTCGTGGAAAGGATATAAGACGAATGAAATAGAAGAGGCTGGCTTTGAACACTTTAAAGTCAATTATAGGTATGTGAAGTTATATTTCAAATTAATGTATTTAACTTAGATACCACTTTATTGATCCAAAGACTGGGTGTAATACTCAAAAAGTGGAAAGAATGTGGGGCAGTGCAAAATGGAGGAATAAGAAGCATCGTGGAACAGCACGACATCATTTGGAAAGTTATTTTGCCGAGTTTATGTGGAGGAAAATGATGGGCGAACGAGACGTGTTTGAGGAAATTATGCTTGCTTGGGGAAAATATTGGTCTTTGGAATGATTAAAATGACTCTTTCTTTTATATATTTTCTCTTTTTATTTTCTTTTTATAAATAAAATTTGTCCGCAAAAAAAGTCCGCTGAAACACGTAGGGATAACGGAAAAGTACCATAAATTCTCTTCAATCTCCAATCTAAGGCCATAATCGCAACTTACGATGGACAATTTTTGATACTTAATCTTAATATTTTATTTTATTCAATCATTCTCCATAAATGGGGGTACTTATTTACTTTGTATCCGCTGGAAAAAATTAATTTATTTTTTATAAAAATGTCAGTGCAAAAGTTAAAAAATTTGCTTGTGGTCGCATTCAGTATTCACTCTTACTTTAATTCAGGCAATTTTTTGTTTTCGATTGCCTGTCTCACACATTTTGCCGTACTTATTTGTAAATGACTAAACAAAAATCTATGTTCATTTCTTATATTTAAAGCGGTTACAAATGAAAAGGGCAATTATTTATGAAAGAGTGAGTGAATGAATGCGACCACAAGCAAATTATTTAAACTTTTGCACTGACCATTTTTTTAAAAAATAAATTAATTTCTTCCAGCGGATACAAAGTAAACAAGTACCTAAATGGGTTTAATTTTTCATTTACATTTCTCCCAAATTTATGACCA